TAGGCTAAGGCTTATGCTTACACATTGGCTTATGCCTAAGCCTATGATTGGGCCTAGGCTTAGTCCTAAGCTTGCTCCGAGCGAATGAACGGCGTCTCAATTTTAGGTGACCTGACCCCAGGGAGGAGAAACACTGCGCACCTGCAGAAAGTGCTCCCGTTGGGCTAAATGGCGCGTCATTGCAGTGTGCACATAATTCTTCAAACCTTTCTGGATACAATTACAGCGCATGGCACATCCAGTTTGGGTCGTATTGAATTCCGAATACTTCGCTTCTCAAGAAGAAAGCGTTAAGTATTTTTCTAAGCCTTGTCGTATGACTCACGATTACCTTATCATCCGTTAGCCTTAATCATTTAGCACTTCGGACCAGGTGAATAACGGTCGAGGAATTCCTCGACCATGGCTCTGTACTGTGCGAGAGTAGTGCCGAGAGTGAACGTACGCGCGGAGAGCACAGACGGCTCGCGCATGGCGAGTGTGAATGTCCGCGCGGGAGAGCGTAACTGATCAGGCGAAAATCCTCGACAAGCCGTTGAGGAATCCTCGACCGATATTCACCCTGCTTCGGACCTTACTTTGAGCGATGATAAAGGTGTCGCGAAGTACTCCATCGACGAAGTTCAATCATACCAACCGTGCTAATTTCCCATACGATCAATGGACGGAAACAAAGTTCTCTGGGAGATAAAGTGTCGGCTGGAATGTTAGCGCTGGCTCTCATAAGGTGTTATAGAGCATCAATAGGCATTCAGAGCCTTGAACCCTTCCATTGGGACTCGAATGCGTGGCGTATTCTGAAAATATCGAGTCGGGCTTTTTTTTCCTCAGAGATTCTTCCTCTTTTAAGGGAATGGCTCCCGATCTGAAATATGTCGAATCAGTGTCGCGCACAATTGCACAGTATTCTGAAGGTCCAAAAGTAGGTTTTTCGAAGACTGTCCAATTTTTTTTTTTCTTCCTTTGCCACTTTCCCTTTCTTTCCCATTCGCTTTTGTTTTACGAAAAATTGTCTCAAAACAATAATTTCAAGATCGTAGTTGAAAAAAGTACTGTCCCGGTGCGAGCCGCCGAAAGCATCAACTGTATTCTTCGAGAAGCCCAACGAAACGATCCTCGTCTGTCTTTTCAGGTAGTTTTACATCCTCTTAATATTTTTGCTTAGTGATGGGAAATATCAGTCAGTGATCGGAACAGTTTAGGTGCTATCGAATCCGGAATTTCTGGCTGAAGGGACAGCCATCAGAGATCTGTCGAATCCGGATCGTGTACTCATCGGTGGAGAAACTTCACCTGAAGGTATGGAGAGGCTTGCATGTTGAACATAACAGAGAGATT